AGCGCCAAAGAGGAGGAAAAAATCGAGCAAAGGACTCGCGACGAATACGTAACGCGTAACGCGGAGTATCAATTCCGATCGATCAATGGGGCTTCCCTGTACGATTAGTAGGCGAACGGCGTTTAACCGTTAAATACGACGTTTCAGAGCGTAATAGCAGCAATTATCGTGTTAGTAGCTATATTCCAAAGGCATCCGTCGCTTCGTACCTTTCGCCGTGTAATTACGTCTCGTTAAGAGCTCGGGAATGTAATCCGGCTTGCGGACGAAAGTGGAAAACCGGCGTTCGACTAGCCAATCGAACTATCCGATGTACAAGCTGTATCATAATATGTGCCCTTAATCGTGATACAGAAGAACGTATAAACGTTTGTTCCCCGGTTACAGTCGCTTTACTATTGTACCATCTGTTCACCTGTCCTTGCACGAATTCACTCGACGCGTCGAGTTTTTCTTCTTCGCGTTAGAACCTCTATGCGCCACTTACTTCTGGCCCCTCGAAAATTTCCATACCCTGTCGGGAGGCTCCTTTCAGGAAGTTGTTTTGCTCCTCTATCTATAGTTTCGCGAATGAGTTTCGATTAGTTAACGCGTCGAATGTACGGGACGAGTCACCGCGGCAGAATTATCGAAATACGAACGGTTCTAGGAAAGTGAATTTATGTTCGATACAGAATTCATTACGATACAGCTCGCGCACACGCCTCGTCCTTCATTTTCCTCCTCCATTTCCTTTTACCCGCGTGCCCTTCTACCATCCTCCCACACGTTTCACCGTTTACCTTGCTCGCGAGTTTCCCAAGAAAGGTTCGAAGCCTCGGCGGAGAATCGGTTTCGCGTCGAAAACTTGCACCGCCTTTGCTTTCGAAGCGAACTTTCACGAGACACGCGCGTCCGTTCGCTCGCAAACGTACATCCGTAATCCTTCGAACGCGTTTGTTCGGCACGATCCTTCCCGAATCCCCCTGCTCGAAAAGATACCTCCGGCCTGCTTCTCAACGATCTTTCGTCGCAGCTTGAAACGTTGTTTCGCGAAATCCGCATCACCGTCCTCCTTATCGGGCGTTCGCAAATTACTCGGACGTTACGAAAGCCCCGTATCGTTACAGGCTATCGATTCGCTCGAGATCGCTGCCGTAAAGTCCGCGAACTTATTAAGACGTCGCGATAAACGTCAGAGCGGTTCGAGCGAAAGTCGCGGAAGAATCGTTTCGAGATCGGGACGTTCCTTGCTCGAACGTTCGGAGAGATCGTCGTTGTAAAGTTGCAGGCGTAACAGCCATTCGAGCCGCGAGATCCGCAAACTTTTTACAACGTAGTTACACGCTCGCGGTTATCGTAAAACCGAGCCTATACGACACGATTTCCGCCTCGTTTACGCTCCAAGAACAATCAGCCTCGGTGTACGGTTTCCAATTCCTTGGATCACCGTTTCAGAAACGAACGACGAACCGTGCCTGACCGACGCGACGGAGCAGGCCGATCAGCCAGCTCGCCAATCGTATCTGTTTCCGATCTGAAATTTAATGGTGACGGATCGAGCATTTAGGAAATCGATCTTCGAACGGGTCAGGGGTCAGCGCCAAAGACGGTGGTCGTACGGTATTTGTCGTCGCGTCGACAGTCGACAGCCGACAGCCACCGGTTCGCGGTGACGAGCATCGAGAGGAAGTTCGAAGCAACGGAGAAAGAAGGCAGGTGTCCTTAGGTGGTACTGCCGGGTGATTCGTCATAGGCGTGATCCAACGACGACGTCGACGACGACGACCACGTTCCTTCCTAATCGCGTCATCGACGTCTACGACGCCCGACTTTTTTCTTTTCTCGCCGATATGATCTCGCCGTCGTTGTTACCGCATACCGCTCGATACTCGCGCGCGGAGGTCTTTCAGTCGAGTCGATCCGCTTCGCTCCGCGTCACGCGCAGCCGTTGTCCGAGTATCTGTGTCCGGGCGACACGATTCTCCCGCAAAATAGTCGCGTTCCGTAGCAGATTTCGTGAGCAGATCGAGAGATCAGCGACTAGAGCAACGAGCCGGAGAAAACGGAAAAGGGTCGAAGCTGGGATGGAAAGACGAGGAGAGAGAGAGATCAGGTAGTGAATAGTTGGCAGCCTGGACTGACCAGCGGGTGCTCCGGATCCGACTGGACCGGTTTTGCCTGAATTCCCTAGGAGTTCTAGCCTTCGGGACTCGCGAACATTCTCACCGGTCGCTGGTCACCGGTCGTTACTACGACGCACGCCAGACCGAGACCACTCTTCTTTGCCCAGTCTCGCTTACGATCCGTTCAAAATAAGTCCGTAGAGTAACGGACGCGTCAAAGGAAATTTCCCCCTTTTTCCATCGTTTTTATCACGATCAGAAAGAAATAATATCGATATAACAGCGCTTATTTTAAACCGACTCCAGCCGCGTTTCCTTCTTCTCTTTTTCTCTGCAACCCCAGCAGAGTGGAAGTTTCGCGCTGTATCCGCGGACTCGTTCCTCCACCTATCTACCAAGTTTCAACGTATCGTTTATCATCGTACAGCTCGGATCCTCGCGATCTTTTCTCTTCGCTTCTCGTCCCTCCGGTTGCGGCTGGTTGGTTGCTTGGCTGACTGTCTGATGACTTGATACTAGCCTCGCGACACCGATACGACCGCGTACTATCTGATCCGTTGCGTTGCCGAGGAAACCGAGAAAGAGAGGCTCTCCTGTTGCTTTTGTTGGCGAGGACGGTAGCGAGTACGCGGGCCTCTCGGTTTCTCCGCGATCCGAGATATCGCCAGTTCGCTGCCTACCGGAACTTTAATTATAGCACTGCCCACGCAATTTGTCTTATTATCGATTCGAGATTTCCGACTGGCGTGCTCGGTTCTCTAAAGGCCGTGTCTCGAGACCGCTTTACCGCGGTTATCCTTCGGTCTCGTCTTTCCCGCTGCTCGTCCGAGAAACGTTGTCGGGGTCGCACGATCGCGTCGCCATTCAAAATCTTTTACTTACCTTCCAGTCCCCGAGCTGACCATTATACGCGTCCCCGAGCTGCGGAGTCGCGTAGCCCGGCAAAGATTCTCCGGTTTTAACCCTCGGCCTCTTTCAGTCCGCATCGGAATCCAGTTTTCGAATCGAGTTCATCCTCCTGAAACGGTCCAGGATGACCGTTGCCACAGAGGAGGAAGCCTCTATCCTAACCGTCCTACGGTTTTGTCTTCGCGACAGCTTGCACGAAGAAAGGAGTTTGCCGGGAGCAAGGGTTGCACAGAATTCGAGGGGATCGTTGCGTAAACAGCTCGTCGTCGATTTTGCTCGTCGATCGAGCCAGCCATCGATCCCCGTTAAATCGTCCTTCTTCCTCTACGCGTCGCGTCCGATGGAAATTTTTATCTTCGACGGTCGACGAGGTACAACCGGTGGCTGCTTTATTTACGGTGGGTCCTTCGTCGCGGCTATTCGAATTAATAACATCGCGTTTCCCCCGAGCCGCGAAGATTAATGGCTGCCGCGGGAAGTAATGGAAAAACGCCCGTTCGAATCGATGCCAATGTTCAGCGGTAAGAATCGCGGTATTCGCGGCCGCTACCCACTGCCGAGTCGACGTTTATCGATCGACGATTATTTCGTTCGACGTTTCGGACGGGCTAATTACTGACCGACTTCGCGAACTTAACGCGATCGAACAACCGAAAGAAACCAAATATTCTATTATGTATTATGGAAAATGATCAAGCTTTACGTATTCGATTGTACGGAATTCGTGGTGCTGGTTGACGGTGACGGCGATGCCCCACGGTAGTTATTATATCAACGACGCGAGGTAATAAACAGAAAGCTTCGATTCTGCAATACACGCACATTTTTAGCGCGGCAATGGACGAAATAATTTCATTTAACTTAACCTATAACAAGCGTGTTAATGTGCGCTGATAAAATTCAAATTTAAACACGAGAAATATGCAAAATTTCGAATCTCGTTGATTACGTGTATCCGAAAAAATGTCGCAAGTTCGATACTCGTTTAACGCCAGTGAAAAATGCGCCGAAGAAAATGAAGCGTTCGTTAACGAATATACATGTATCACTTAGTGTCGTTAATATCATAGTGATTCTATCCTAGTAATTATCTGCCGACACGAGAGCTATCGTGCAATCGGTCAGATTACGTTAATTACAGCCGCGGAAAGAAGGCGGCATTACGAATAGGTCACGTTGAGGAGAACCAGAGATCGAAATTTTTTTTTTATTTCGATAAATCCGTTGAAAAGGACAGACGCGAGGCTCTCGCGCATTTCTACCTGTTACCGTTCCACGTATACGCCGCTTGTCGTTAATGCCGCGCGATCAGAATCGTTAGTCTCGACAAAAACCGTCATTAGCGAGGTATTAAACGGTTATCGAGCCACGTATCTCGAGAAAAATACAATCGCTTACGGCCCTGATTCTCTCGGATACGAATAAGTTTGATGGAAAAACGGTGGAACACGCGTTATTAATCGCGCGAGTCGATTCGTTTCCGGCTGACTACGATACTCGCCGAGCAGGGAACGTCTCGCGCAACCGTGTCCTTGCTTCCGAACAATTCAGATAACGACGATTTTTTTTTCGTAATCTCTTTTATAGTCGATCAACGTTCAGACGTTCTTCCGGGCGCGTGGCTGGTACAAAGAATGAATTAGAAAAGTGACAAATTATTTGCCGGTTAATATCGTAAACGATATCGTTAATTATCGAGAAGCTATGGTGAACTTTTGTAGTCGACTGTAGAGCCGCGAATTCCATCCCCGCTTGTCCGTGTAACGAGCGAACACGTATAATGATATTAATCAGGGAGGCTCGTTCGGCTTCCTTAAAATTGCCGGCAGGCTCAATTTCTCACTTAAAATCTAATTAGAGCTCGGCGGGCCCGCCGTGGGCCAAGAGAGAAAGAGGTTGATCGAAAGGGGAATGGTCAACGCGTTCGACCTCGGGACCAACGGCCCAAAGATCCTCGAGCTAAGCCAGTACTTTACGAAATTGCAGTTTCCTACCCTCGGATCGTCCCGCGGGTCCCACCTTGGATCCAACCGGCTGTGCACTCGGACCCGCTTTCGACGTCCTCCTCGTCCTTGGGATCCGATTTCCGACGCTGTTCGGGCCACTTTGGACGTCCGGGATCAGCGCCGTCTGGACACTCGGGCGGCTTCGATCGTCCTTGGATTCGAGGTAAGAACCCTTCGCTTACGCGACAGCGAAACGATGATCGTTCGAACGACGCGACGATCGAGACCGAATCGAGGTATTCGCGGCGGCAGCTCCGAGCTCGTGAATCAACTCGTTACGATTCGTTAATTATTACCGCGGAGTCGGCTAGAGGCCGTGTTGCGGTGTCCGCGATCGAAACGGGGGTGAGGGCTTCGAAGAGGACAGCTCGGACGCGACTCGAACGAGCAAAAAAGACGGTGGATCGTTAGCAAGGTACAAATTTCGCCATTTGCCGCAATAAACTTTCGAACCCGCTTGTAACTTCTTCTTATGGGAGGCATGAGTAATCGCCTTGTTAGCCCTTATGGCCTATAGCGCTCATACGATCGCTCCCATGTCCATGGGAGGGACAACAGCAACGGCAACAACAACAACAACAACGGCCGACATGCACGCACAGCGATTGCAAAAAAAGGAAAAAAAAGAGTAGAATGAGCAGAAGGAGAGACGAGGAAGCGATAGGGGTACGAAACGCGAAACACGCGCGATATATATGTATACGTATACCCTATCGACACCGGAGTCCGTGTAACGAGCGAGCCCGAGGAACCGTTGCCCGCTGCCTGCCCGCCGCCGCCCAGGTAGAAGCAGAAATCGAGAAGGAGCGACCGTGAACGCGGGAGAAGCGGAGGGAGCAACTTCCAAGAGGCATTTGCGTTGTAACCGAGAAACGAGCAAAAAGCGAACGCGTGCGCGCCACCGACCGACAAAGAAACAGCGACAACGCGACCAAGCCGGACAAAGAGGGAAACAATCAGGGGGGGTGGAAGCGAATCCCTTTTGTATTTTCGCCTTTCTTTCGTTCTCTGTGCCACGCGAAATTTAATTACCTCGCGCCAGCCGCCTCTACCACTTAATTAGCGTCCTATAAATTAGAATATCGCCGCGACCCGAAAGGGGCGTGTCACCGCCGCGAACCAAGCGCGAACCGAGCTCGAAACAACGCTTGACCAGGATCGTTCGCCTACGGACAAGTAACGTCGTCTCGCCGAATTCCTGCTGAATCGGTTGAACTCGAATAGCGAGAGCGCCGGCAACCGAACACAGGACTCGTATACGTACGCGTGTGTAGGTACACGCGTGCTTCCAAGTCGCGTGGCTCCATATCTTAGGACGAAGCCAAGGGGGGTCCAGCGAAGGACAGCGAACGGGGACTAACGCCGTTTTATCGTGTAGCCAATTAATAACGTTTCCTTGCGAGCCTCCGACTCTTTTTCCTGTCTCTTCGCTTTTGTCGCCAACAACAGATCTCTCCTTAAAGATATCTCGGACCGTTTCGGAGCTCCGGAAGGCGATACCGTAGCTACCGAGGCTCCGTACCATAAAACCGGAGACACGAGAGCGCGTGTTATTTCGAAATCTTAGTTTCTACGTAGATCCGTACATAGATCCAGAACTTTCCATAAAGATTCTGACGAGTTTCGAAGGTCTCTCCGACGCTTTTATAGTAGAATACCAGCGATTCTTCGAACGAACGATCCGAACGATTCCGAATCTCTTGGAAATCTTCGGAATTTAAGAATATCCGAAAATCTTGAAACGTCCGCGATCGTTGAAAAGGAAGAACACGCAACGGTATGCAAATCTGAAATCTGGATTAAAATTATTCTACGTGCAATTAGCGACGGTAAACTGTGGGTGTTTATGCAAATATACCTACCGTTTTTATCGAGTGTTTTCACTCTCTAAGTGATTTAAGGCGTCTTAATTCGCACAATTTACATATTTTACACCTCTGAATAATTTATCTCGATTTCTTACACGTATCATATAGTTTACATATTTTTTGCGCGCTTCGCTGTTCTATAAAAGCATAAACATCTATCCGTTATCATCGAAGAGCTCCGTGACTTTCAACACCTCGATACATTCGTGAGTTTTTGGCCGGGTGTGCGCGCGTTTCTTGTTCGAGTACCTAGTCTTTACTGTTCTACTCGTTACTCGAGTTCTACTCGGTGGACAAGGTTGTTCTCGCGTTTACTTCGCAGTCGAAATGAACTGGATGTCGAAAATCGGGCGGAGAAAGCGAGCGTGTTTCAACGTCGCGTAAAATCGACTAAAGAGATCGACTAAAATTTTGAAAAAGCGGTGTCTGACAATTAAGAGGGTTGTTCTGTTTGTAATGTTGCAGCTTACAGATTTGTCTCGTATCGTCCTGCTGCAAGCGATCGTTCCAGAGTCCTGTCGCAGCCAGGCGTCGTGTCAGTGTGGAAATGCATGATTACATAGAATTACGGTATAAGTTGTGTTAAATATCAATGTTAATCGCTGTAGCGAAGTGGGGTATTACAATAAATACATTATTTTATGTAAAATGTCTTTCTCTCCTCGTTTTCAACCTGGAATCGTTGTCGATTGTATATCCGTCGCGAAGCTCGCGGTGCAAACTACTACGAGCGATAAAGAAGTTTTTTTCTTCGTACGGTCGTTCGACGCGCACAGAAGGGAAAAAGTGGCTCGTAAAGAGCGGCTGCAACGGTCGGCATCTGCGATGCGCAATTAACGAAAGGGTTTCCGCTCGGTCCGGCCACCCCATTTCGCTCGCGACAGCTTCGAGGCCAGCCGCCGCGCCACGCTCGTTGACAAGTCGTTTGATTTACGGCGAGCTTTTATTTTTTTTTAATCCGGCTCGCGATCGTCGCCCTGAGCCTCGCGATCCTTTGCCGCGCTCTCGGAGATTCTCGCCAGGCAAATTTATCGCTCGTTCGAAACGCGATCGCTTCGAAATTAGCTGTCCGAGCGAACGGAGACCGGCAGAACTTCCGAGCTGTCCGGGTTCGCGCTTAACCAGGGATTCGGGACGTCGGGGGTACTTAACCCTCGGGATGGGTTACGAAATGACTTTATGGCGGATCAGAGGCTCGCTTTAGATTACATAAGGGGTTCCTGTCACGCGGTCGCGCGACGCGTCCAAGGATCGTTTCCATGCGACAACGAGCAGCCAGGCCCTCGAGGATTCCGCAAATGGAATCCTGATTGCGCTTTCCGTTTTCTTCCTCGTCGAATTTCGCGACACTGGATACCTTCGAAACGTTATCTTTTACGCGTCCGGAAAACGTTATGCCCTAATTTTCAACGGTCCAGCGTCGACGTATTCTCTTCTCGACGAGAAACGTTCCCGTTCAGAGGCGAACGAAAACCTTTTTTCGATATCTCCGAAACAGAACGCGAAGAACCTAGGTAGAAACGGAAGAGGTATTCTCACGCGTATAATCGGAGAAAGAAAGAGTAAATCGTTCGAAGGGGCGCGACTCGGAGCGAAGAAGCGGCGAGAAGGTAAGGTCGAAAGTGCAAGCTCAGTGAGTTCGAAGGAACTCGTAGAACGGGTGGGTCTCGTCGGAACGTTCGACGAGGCAATTTCGCGCGACGATCGGTCGGCCCGCTAGAAAGCCCGAGTTTGAGCACCTCTTTGTAATTTTACGTTGCCGTGGGGTGGCTAAAGCTGACGCAGTGGGGTAGGTGGTCGAGGTATGCCCGGTAGCCAATTCCCGGCTCTGGCCTCGACTCGCCGGGTCCATTCATCGCCGAGCACTACGTGACCGGTTTACCAATCCAGCTCTTCCTACACCAACACCGACGCCCCTCTGTCCTGCCTGCCCGCGTTCCTCTCGTCTCTACCTTTCGCCTCCGTCTCTGTACGCGTATCCGCCAAACAACCCCCAAACTCGTATCGACCCGTCGGATTCCCCTCGCGATCGCCGAACTCTCTTGTCAACGATTTTCCAAACGTTCTTTCCGAACCGACGAATACGTTTCTCGACACCCTCGTCCGCCACCGTTTTCAGCCCTGTCGAAACACGACACCCACGCGACCACCAGACCAGGATCAGAATTTCGAGAAACGCTTCGTCGCAGGGGGCGTTTGTACGCTCGAAAAAGGCTCGAAGCGCAGCGGACGGAGAAGGAGGATCGGTTCGGTTTCCGCGCGCGATGATGACATGTTAATGTATGGACGCGTAGTACGTAAGAGCGTGTCCGAAAGAAAGGAGGGCAACGAGAGGGGTAAGGAAAGGAAAAGGAAGGCGAGAAGGGCACGGTGGTGGCAAGCACGAGCCAAAGGAGGGCCCCCTTTCCTGTCGGATGGGTTTCTTTCGGTTGAAAACGAACGAATGGGTCCTCGGCCCCGACGTCTCCGAGTCATTGTCGCCCTGCCTTCTTCATCTGCATACAATGCGGGAGACATCCGCGGCTCGCATCCCCCTGTTGCCCTTACCCTCTTCCTCTTCCTCGCGTCCGACATCTCCGCGAACCGACGACGTATCATCGGAATATCGTTAATACGGCCGGCCCATCGAAATTACCCGCCGAGGAGGGACAAGGAACGCGCGCAGCACGCGTCGAACCCACTGCTCGTCTCAAAGTTTTTGCTCCGTTCCGTCTGGCCGTCTAGGCGGCCGTCCACCCGTTCCAGCCTTCTTCTCTCCGAACGAACCTTAACGCGTTCGAGGAACGACGAGTCGGTCGCGACTAAAAGTGGCTCGGCTGCTTGAAATAACAAAAATCCAGACGAATAACGCGACCGGCGCGGCGATACGATCGTAGAGGTAAATCTAATCGTCTCAACTTTTGAATTGGACTGTCGCGATACAAGCACCTTAAGAGCAGGAGGTCGAGCTCGTAACCGTTGTTCGTGCTCCCTTTCGAACCAAATACTGGCAACAGTTGCGGTTTATGAAATTAAATTCACCCCGGTGGTTCGAGACACGCGTGGATGCCCGATCCCGTTCTTACACGAACAAACTCTGCGCTAGTAGCGATCCCGTAAGAATTTCGCTTCGGAGAAACGAAGCGATTCGACGTTGTCATAATCGGTCTCGTCGCGCCTCTGGAAATTAAGTAGGAGGGCAGTTTTGAGGGTGGTCCTCGTATTCGCCGGGACCATAGTCGGGCACGGCAAAGAGACGATTTATTCTTTGGGGAGGCGGCTCGGCCACGCTCTATAATATCCAGCACGAGCCCAGTCAGCCACCTTTATCTCTGCTATTAACCCCCGCGAAAGTAATTAAATTAAATGATCCACGGTCCCTCGATCATCCGGCTCGTAAGTGCCTATTTATTCCGACACCCTTCGAACGCGCCGCCGAGTTCTCGGTCGCGTACGCGCCGCGCATTCCGAATCGTGTCCCTTCGCGCTTTCCTCCCTTCGTTCGACGAAAAAGTCGAATCTAATCGCTGGACGTCGCGCTGCCGACGAAAGAGAACGAGAAATCCGACGGTCCGTGCGGCCGAACGAGGAAATCACTTTCCAAGAGAGAGGAACAAGGGTGCCGGAGCAGCTGGATCGAGATTGTTCGGGGATACGTGTTCGCGAGAAAGGTAGCCTCGCGATAGAGGCTTCCTCGAGTGCCGACGACGAGAAAGAAGAGGGCTCAACGGGCAGGGGGTGTATTCGCCGAGGGGTTTGGCGCGCCACGAATCTCGCACGTGTTAGATAGAGGGTCGAACGGAGCCGCGAACCTCCCGAGGGAGCAGCCTACCATTTTGCATAAATCGCGAGACACCCCGTCGTAGTCGAACCTCGGGGAGATTCTGGAATGGTTACGAACACTGCTGCGTCGCGAACGCGAAACGAGAAACGAAACCGCCGAAGCTGTTCTCTCGTAGTAGTCCCGATATTTTCTCCGCCTTGGTGACGCGTTTTTTCTTTCCACGATCCGCTCGACGCGGTGACGCGGAATTTTCAAGCCGTTCGCGAGAAGAACAATCGACCGTGCCACCCTCGTTCGCGGCGCGGATTAATTCGACGATAACCGCAATATGCTTTCTCTCGCGATTACGGAGCGGTATCGTTTTACGGTCGGCGCGGTAACTTTCGACGAACTGTCGTACCGCCCCGGGATCTATAGCCCCTACGACGAGGGGACGAGTCGCCGCCGAAATGAAACGAAACGATAGCTCGGGGTGTTGTTAATGTTCTCGGTTACGCGGCTTGTTACGCGGCTTGTTCCGCGGAGGATCAAGAGCCGACATCGCGTATGCGCTCGATACGCGCCTGTATCTCGCTTCGAAAACGCTTATGTCCGATCTGAATGGCACGTGGCAGAGCATCGATCTCGACTTGCCTCGTAACGCGACATGGAAGTTTCAAATTATTTTCTCCCGAAACGCTCGAATTCGAGTAAATCGACGAAATTAGGCAATCCCGACGTCGCGTTTCTTCAAAAAGTCCTCGTGGTCGCTAAACCGTCTCTCTCTCTCTCTCTCTCTCTCTCTCTCTCTCTCTCTCTCTCTCTCTCTCTCTCTCTCTCTCTCTCTCTCTCTCTCTCTCTCTCTCTCTCTCTCTCTCTCTCTCTCTCTCTCTCTCTCTCTCTCTCTCTCTCTCTCTCTCTCTCTCTCTCTCTCTCTCTCTCTCTCTCTCTCTCTCTCTCTCTCTCTCTCTCTCTCTCTCTCTCTCTCTCTCTCTCTCTCTCTCTCTCTCTCTCTCTCTCTCTCTCTCTCTCTCTCTCTCTCTCTCTCTCTCTCTCTCTCTCTCTCTCTCTCTCTCTCTCTCTCTCTCTCTCTCTCTCTCTCTCTCTCTCTCTCTCTCTCTCTCTCTCTCTCTCTCTCTCTCTCTCTCTCTCTCTCTCTCTCTCTCTCTCTCTCTCTCTCTCTCTCTCTCTCTCTCTCTCTCTCTCGATTGTAAACGAGAAAGAAAGGAGAAAAAAAATAAATAAATGAAGATAGAAAGAGAAAAACGTTGACCAGTGGACCGACGTTTTTGGTCGGGTCGCGTTCCAGCGTCTCCCGTTTCTCCTTCATAAATCGTCCGCACCGGGAGGTACGTTTTTTTCGAAACGATCCGCGCGGCCATTAGCGGGGACAGTGGTACAGCGACGCGATTGACGAGCGATCGATCGGTCGATCGATCGCGTC